CCCCAAAACCCCAAAACCCCAAAACCCCATAATGCTACAATTGCATATAAATTGAATTAAGATAAATTGCAAAAATGAATTCAGTTTCGCAGCCTTCCATAATTATTTAGACTAAATAACCCAAGTAATAACAGAAGAATAAGCCCTCCATTAATTCCCTTTAAATATCTTCAAATCCAACACTTCAAAGAAGGAATATAAATTTTGAGCAAAATAAAAGTTAAGCGTCTTCAAGAATCTATAAGTCTGCAAAATACCTTAGTAAAGTTCCGATTGATTAAAATATAAACCTGATGGAGGTAAATGTTCTTAATAAAATCAGTATAAAGGATAACGAATACTTAGATAGTGATGATTATATCGTTACTCCTCAGAATATAATGGATGTTCAAGATAAAGAGGTATATCTAGATAAACGAGAGTAAGAATTTATAGTTATATAGATTAATCACTTTTAGCAAGATCATTTCTAAGGTTGAAAAGTCAAATAAGGATATACAGTTTTTAATTGATAAACTACAAGCAGCAATTATTCAATACGAAGATATATGCCTGCACTTAGAGTAAGAAGAAATGAAGGAACAGTTAGCACCTATGTATCAGGAGGTTAATGAGTTAAACTATGATCTCTCTTAGAATTACTAGGAGATCAAGGAACTTAAAAAAGAAATTATCTCGATGAAGCAGTTCTTAGATAGTACAATGAAAGACGAAAAAATTACGATCCTCTAAGATAAGATCATGGATGTACTTAATGACGTTAAATAACTAAGAAAACAGATCAGAATCTTAAATGAGAATAACTACATCCATAATGCTGAAATAAGTAAAATGTAGTCTAAATTTTCACATTAAGATAAAGTAATTTATCTTTTTAAATTGTTAATAGATGAATTCCTTTAAGGCTTAAATTGTTTTTTACAAGGAGAAATTTAGAGAGCTAGATTTATAGCAAAGGGAAAAAGATCATGAGGAGATACAAAGGCATTCGAAATTCGTAGGAAAGCTTATTAAGACTTAGAAATTAAAGGAGAGTCTGATCAAACTGAAGTAAAACTCTCCAGAGAGAGTAGAAGTTGAGTATGAAACTCCCAATAAATTAACTCAAAAAAGGCAATAAGTAAATTAATACTCTGTTATTTAAATTTAGCACCATGAAACTTTAGAAAAGCTTTAATAAATCCTGGAAAAGAAAAAATTCATGAAGTAGGCATCAGCTGAACATCAAATTGGCTATCTTGAGAAGATCTATCAAAGATACGAAGATCACAATGATGTGCTCGAAAAGATCATAGCCTCTAAAGCTAAAGAAAATTTAGAACTGCAACAGAAGCTTGAAGAACTTAGAAAATTGTTGCCTGAGAATCAATTAGCATAACTAGAACCTTATATGAATCAGAGACTACCCAGAGTAGCATCTCTGATACAAATTTCTCATTCTCCCCAAATGATGAAATCTTTGATTGACTCAAAACTTAACAGAGTCAACAATTAGATTCATCAAGTGAGAATACCTTCTAAATAAAGATATCTAATTGATGTTGATTTCTAGCCTATTGAGAGACACTAGTAAGATATGTTCAAGAGTTTGCAGCCAAAGAGTTTAAAGGCCTCATCTAGTGTCAAATAAATAACTAAACCAAGGCAATCACTTCAATTGAAATAGTAGAATCAGAGATAGCCAAATCATTAGACTATAAATGAAACTGGCCCTATGAAATATGAAGAATTCCTAGAAGACCTAGACAGAGTAGAATAGTCAGATTAGTGGAGATCAGATAATTAATAATTTGATGAGTATTAAGTTTGAAACAGTAATTAAAATAATTAATCAGATTTTATTTGAATTTTAATAGATTCTGATGAGCTAAAATCAGCCAAATTTAACTTCTATTCAATGCCCTTCTTCCCGTTTATTTCTAATAATGACAAAATTCATTAAGTTCCTGTTAAAAGAATTAGAGTTCAAATTTGATAAGTTTCATCTTATGAGCTTTTCTTAAAACTCCCTTAAAATAAATTTAATATTTATAATTTTAGAAATAATAGTCATATAATCAGCAATGATAAAGTACGAAAAAAATAAATCGCCTTAAAATCAAAATGTGAATTCTCTTATACCCAAGAAAACTCATCTGGAAAGGAAAGCTTAATCTTAGAATAAAAAGATCAACATTGATCTTTCAAAAAGAACCCCAGATAACAGCAAAAAGTAATAGAAACAAAAAAGCCAGTTGGAAGTAAGTGAGAATAAAAAAGTGAATGAGGGATGTTCATTTGACGAATCATTAATGAAGTCACCTATTTCAACTGCGAGAGACTAGGACGCTTCTTAGAACCAAACAACTCTGAAAAAGAGCATCAGCCCTGGGATACTGAGCGGCAGACTAACAATAAAATCAATAAACAACATTCAATAGAACATAATTGATGAGGACTTCTCATCGGACACTAAGAGATCAGAATTTAAAGCAGAGCTAATCCAGCACTAAGAGGAGAGACAAGAAGAAGTAGGGAGCGTTATCATTGTAAATCACCATCAGCATTCACATACTCCTTACATTCCTTCGCCTAATAAAAACAATTAGAGAGAAGATGACTAAAACTTACTCAGCGAGTCAGATGAGAAATTAAGAGCGCCACAGCCTCATAAAGACAATAGGAGAGCCTATCAATCAAATAAGCAGTAGTAATTTAAATCAATAGAGCATAGAAACTAGGAGAGTATTGGTGGTCAAAGTGGAACAGGCAGTCAATATTACGAGTAATAAAATGACAAGATAATTTCGAACAAAAGAAAATACCTAGATTTGGTGACTAAGGGAACTGCTATCAACAAGGAAAGAGACAGTCTCATATTGAAGGAAAAGAAGGAAAAGGACATAAGTAGCTCTTTAATTGACTCTCATAAGGAAATAATTTATATTTCGAACACTTACTTCGAAAAGGAAGAAGAAAACATGAATGGAGTTGCTCAGGAGGATCAATATTTACCCTCTTAGCCACCACCATTTAGCAAAATGTCTAGTTCTTTGAGTTGTGATGCTTAGAATGAGGATGTAGATGAGTGTCCACCCATTTCTCCAAACCAAGATAAGTAAATAAACAGCTCAAAATCATAGAATTCATTCTAAGGCATAATGAGATTTTCGATAAGATAGATTTAATTCAACTTAATTACCTCTTTAATGGGTTCTCAAAATAGGACTAGCTTTGTATCTAGAGCTTCTATAAAGCTTTCAAAAGGATTTTCCTCCAATTCATCATCAGTGACTAATAGAAAGAGTTAATGCTCTCATAGATGTTCAAGAGGTGGATTTAAAACTTTATTCAATTGCTGCACTTAGAATAATGGCACTGGTAGAAATAAAAATGACAATAACTCAGATTACTCGAATGGTAGTGCTTTTAATAAAGTCTTAATTAATAATAAAAACGGAGGCAGTTTTGTTCTTCGGAAATCTCTTTCAGGATCTAATTTGAGGGCAGAAGATTTCACAGATGATGTTGATGAGTATGAAAACGACTCCTATAATCATAGACTCAGTATAGTTAAAAGGAAAAATGTCAACTAGTCTAAAATATCCTAGCCTGGGATAAAAATAAGAGAATAATCTAATATAGTATCTATTTCTTCTCACTTTGAAGAAGCCTAGGCTCAGAAAAAGTAATAAAAACTAGATAAATTCGTCACTAAGATGCCTTTGAATAGTTAGATATAAGCAAATAACTAATCTTAAAGAAACAATCAAGATATAGCAGGAATCTATGTAAATCTTAATTCGTCCTCTTAAACAACGCAGTAATAAAATTATTAAACTACTTCTTATGCTGCTGGGTAAAAAAATGTAAATAATGACGATAGTGCTACAAATTCATCAGGGGTAATGCCCTAGGATATTCATAGATTGCACTTTTTATAGACTATACAGGCACTTCATACTATTAAAAATGTTTTGACTATTACTCCTGAAAATGAGATTGAGCATCTCAAAATTAACCTGCCACCTCCTAATCATCCATCAAGTAAGTATCTCATTTGATTTTAAACCTCATATAATAGAAAAGAAAACTTTGATTTTCGACATGGATGAGACACTAATTCATTGTGTTGATGACATTGAAAATGAAGACCCAGATGTTATCATTCCTATAGATTTCCCTGATGAAGATGAACTAGTTAATGCTGGAGTAAATATAAGACCCTATCTTTATGAATGCCTTGAAGAAGCTAACAAACTTTTTTAAGTTATTGTCTTTACAGCTTCTCATAAAGCCTATGCTGATGCTATACTTGACTATATTGATCCAGAAAATAAATATTTCTAGTATAGACTCTACAGAGAAAACTGTGTCCAAACAAAAGAAGGTTACTACATTAAAGATCTAAGAATTTTAAATAACAGAGACTTAAGAGATGTGGTTATTATTGATAATTCAGTCTTTTCCTTTTCATTTCACATTGATAATGGTATCCCTATAATTCCTTTTTATGCTGATAAGGAAGACGAAGAAATGCTTCATTTAATCTATTACCTAAACTGCTTGACTAGTGTTGAAGACGTTAGAGTATAAAACCAAGAAGCCTTTGAGCTCAGGAAGCTTTAGTTGCAAAGTCCCTTAGAGATAATAAACAATTACTATACAACTAACAATCAATAATAACTACTTCTCCAGCATAATACTGAGAATTATGATGATAGAGACATTATAATGGAGGAGAATGAGGATACTTAAGAAGTTCTATCAGAGGATGAAATTGGCTATAATGATAGACAAATAAATTATGACTCAGATCTGATTGAGCACTAGGATATAATAAAAGAGCAATTTAAATAAAAGGATCAGTCATTTGCATTTCAAACACCAAGAAGTCTACTTGATCAGCAACAGCAATGATGTAGCAAGGCTAAATAAAGTAAAGTATTTGATAAATGAATATTAGGTAAATGAATGTATTTTGAACACTTTGAACATCCCATAACATTCACTACTATATAAAATTTGAAACTCTTATTAATAGTAACTAGATTAATCTTTAATTTTACAATAAACATAATACTCAAACACATGTTCATTTAAGAGTTTTCTTGGGGTTCTTATATCTTTTCCAACATAGATTTATATTATCCACCAGAGTTTGTATTAGTATATTTCCATTAGCATCTAATGGCTTACAGCACTCCAGCAACAGCTATATCTTGGCTTCATCCATATAATGATTTTCAGATTCCCCAAAGTTCATCATGAAATACTCAAATTCCTCATATTTAATCTTTCCCTTGCCTTCATAGTCAAACATCTATATGGCTTTCTTCAGCTTTGCTTCTTCTGTATAATCTTATGTGTGATTATTATACAAATACTCAACCAAATCATCTTAGTAGAAGAAGCCACTATCGCTTTAGTCCAAAACTTGATTTATTTCATCTAATTGATTGGTCAAGAAATCGAAACCAATTTAGACTAGAATTGATTCTAATTCATTAAGTGGAATGAGACCATTTCCTTGGGTTGGTCTAACCACTAAAATCATCTCTTTTATTTTATCTTGCATTTTAGAAAATTATAGTAATTAGAATTATAAATTCTTATAATAAAACTTAAAATGTTCAAAAAGGTTTAGAAAAAGTAGACATCCAGAGTTAGAGATGAAAATGAAGATTCAAATCTGAATTCAAATTAAATTCTAAATGATAAAGTATAACCAATGATTAAACAAAAATCTGATGATTATCTCAAGGAAAGTGAAACTAAACCTTAAGAGACTTCAGCAAGTAATTCAAGTAATATTCAGTAGGAAGAAGATGATATGCAAGACTAATTTGAGACCAAAACTATCAAAAAGAGAGTAGAATCTAGATTTAATAAAAGGAGAGGATTGATACATCAAAGTAGCCTTTAACCCTCCTATAGCAAACTCTAGTCAGAGATATCATAGGATGATTATAGTGAGCATTCCAATATTTAACATAATTCTGATAGTTTCTATGGCAAAGAGCAAATAGACAATATTTAAGGGAAATCTAAATTTAAAGAGTCTAGAACTTCTGTTGATGAGGACAATGATGGTGATATTATAATGAATGAAGATGAATTAGCAGCTATTATTAACTAGGATGTAGGCTAAGAAATGACTGAGCTTTTGACTGAAGAGTAAAAACAATAAATCCTTAAAGTAAAGGAATTGAGGAATTAGAAGAGAAAATTGGATGGTAATGATTATGTCCCATTCGATGAGTCAACAAGTGGAGGAGTATTTGCTAGAGATTAGATCCATTCTATTAATAATAGAATGGACAATTTAGAGGCTCACATTATATAAAGATAGATAATTAAGGAGCAATACTCAATTAATAGAAATAAGATGCAAGATGCGTTCGATATGAGTAGATAAAAATTCATCAGACCAAGTAATGGAATAATTGATTTAGACCATGGAATGTTTGATGACGAACTAATCAGCAATGCCAGCGAAGAAGAGAAAGATGAACTGGAAAAGCTGATTAAAAGAACAGTTAAAAGCGGAAGTGGTAGAGACTATGATTCAATTATAAAGAAAGATGTGATGGCTTATAATAAAAATAAAGGGGATTCTGATTATAATGAGATTAATAAATTTGAGTAGTCAAGAAACTACTAACAGATCATAGCATTTATGGATTAAAATGAGGATAGTTATATGAATGATATAGAAGCAGAAATAAATAAGCTATCATAATAAACTAAAGAATTTGAACAATAGATGAGGGATACAAAAAATGAGTTGAAATTATCAGAATTTGAAATTTAAGATTCAGATAGCAGGTTCAATGAAGTGGGTGATAATTTCATACTAGCAAAGGATATTTGTGAAGTCCTTGAAGATCTTAAGGAGATGTTAATGGAAAAGGAATCAGACATCAAAGATGCTCTAAAATATAGACTAGATATAGAAAAAAGTAGTTATGATAAAATAGCTTCGGAGTTTGTTTGTCATATTGCTGATCTTTATCAAGAAATGGGCGTGAAAAATATTCCTTTATATGTAACGAAGCATTTCAAAAGAGAAGTTCATGAAGATATGATGAATGATTTGCAGAGTAAAGATTTGAGAAGTTTACAAAGGCAAAGTTGTATTAGTGGAATCATTTGGGAAGTCATAATTACGAAGCAAAATAGTGAAACAGTTAAGTAAATGAATAAACTTGGCAAAGAAGCAAATGAATAAATTATTGGCGATATCATTGAAAGCTATCAGAACTTAGAAGCGTCGTTATACCCTTCTATTACTAAATTAATTAAGATGGGTGTAAAAGTAAATCTTTTAGATCTCATTGACTATATCAAGCCTTATTTCACACTTGAGATACTAAAATACAATACGAGAATATTTACAGAAAAAAATCTTCATCAACAACTTATTAATTCAAAGTAACTGGATGAATTCTTAATTGAAAACTCTGGTGAATACACTAATGCAAGCATCAAATTTTTCAAGTCAAAATTAGCACTTGAACTTTATTAAAATATGCTTTTGAGCTTTATAAATTATGTTTGGAATCCATTCGATGAAGAACATACCAAAAGATTCTTGGAGTTTCTTGATAGTTATGTTGATGTTATTTACATACCAGATGAGTAAAGTCTAGAACCTTTACATGGATTATTATAAGTTAAGGAGATCCTGAATACTCTTTTGAAAAGATATAACGACTGCATCGATTTACTATAAATCAACAAAAATAATGCATCATTATCAGAAATCATTAATGGGATTGAGGCTATAATTAAATCAATATTGTGTTGTAAGAACTAAGTACCAAAAAGCAACATAAATGCTCTTGTGTATGGATAGATATTTAACGAGAGTGTATTTAAAGTTTGTGATAAATTATTTAGTAATAGTCCTCAAGTTATTAATGGCATTTTGAATAGATTAATAACTAGAGAGCTTATAGATTATAGCCAAGAATTGGAAACAGAAGAAGAAGTATAGGATAAGGATTACTTATTATTCAAAGAAAGTTTATAGATGTTAAAACACAATGATTAGCTATTGCCAACGCCTATTTGATTAATTAATGTTTAAACGAACTGAATTAATTTATAAATCGAGTTACTAAATTAATCTATGATTATTTGAACATGGGGTTTTGGGGTTTTGGGGTTTTGGGG